GTTTTAATTTAACTGTTTTCTTAGCAGAATGCCGTTACTCTTGTTCCCGGCCGATGAAAAGTGGCTGTGAGGCTGAACCAACTATTAGACCGATAATTGTCCGTGGACGTGGTGTAGGGGACATTTATAAACTCACGTGACTACATGATTATACTGCATCGCCTATAATTATCCCCGTTACTGATATGCAAACTGAGAATTTCTTCGCTATCATTTGTGCAGGCTCCACAGGCTTTAGTCACTCCGTTTTCAGGCGTTTTACAAGTGTATGCAAGCCTGTCCTATGGGATCACTGCATCTGTTCGTCTGTATGTGCCAGTTTATGAACTTCAAGGTTATTTTGCAACACTGTTTCAACTGCAGAGATTACACAGCTTCGAGGGGGGGAATGGGAAGTTCGTCAATTGTATGTGGGTACGGATTTGGAAGGATAATATTTGGATGAATCTTAGGGAAACTGCCTGTGAAATGGGGATTTGATTCGCGTGGCTCGAAATAGACTTCCATTAGCGGTATTGTGTGAATGGTGATGGGTTACATAAAGACACAGAACTTCATCACTTAAGTAATTCTTGCTTTATCATGAAAGACCGTCTATACCAGATAAAATTCAGCGTTCCTTTCAGATTCGTTTATCTTTTCGTGCCATATTTAGAAGCACAAAGCTTAAATTATACGGGGCACACTGTAATGAAGTTGGTTAGGGCACTATGCTACAAGCCGGAAGGTCGCGGGTTCGAGTGCCGATGAGATGGATTTTTATTTTTCTAATTTACATAATCCTTCCAGCCGCATTATGGCCCAGGAGTCGACTCAGCCTCTAAAAGAAATGAGTACCAGAAATCTTACTGGGGGGTAAAGGACGGCCGGCGCGTAGGGCTGACAACCTTGCCGCCATCTGTGAGCCGATTGTCTAGAAGATATGGGAGTCTCGACGTCTCACAACCACGGCATGTTACAGGGACAGCTTTACCTACTTTTATAATGCTACCCTTTGATTTGTATGAGTTTGAGAATAATGATCACAGATCGAGGGGGTTCTGAAACAGACACTGAAAGAAAGTTGGCCTAGAACAGAGGAAGTGAGAGGAAATTAAACAATGATGATATCATGACTTGTGCTCTTCACCAAATTTTATCAGGAAAGAAGAAATGAGCAAGTATTGTATAATACATGGCAGAAATGATCACTGCTTACATAATTTGCTAGGTAAACTTCTGAAGAATAGATAATTTCGGAAAACGAAACGTACGTATGTTGATAATATTAAAATTGATCTTAAAAGCTGTGAATGTATGCACTATGTTCAATTTGCTCAGATATGGTGCCGAGGCGGGTCTTAGCTTAGGGTTCGATGAAAGTCACGAAATATATTGACGATCTGAGCGACTGTCAGTTTGTAAAAGAAGAACTATATTCCATAACGTTAGGTTATCGTCGCCATATTATTTGCACATTCGACAATAAACTGTGGGAATATTACGCCGAAACCGAACTTGTCTAAATCACTTCCCTACTCAGGATTCTTCTCTTCAGTCACACGACTTATCTGTCAATGTGGAAACAAAACAAACTGTGAAGAAAGCAGACTGCTTTACCGTTTCTCACGGTGTTGTCGCTTGCAGATTTCTTATACTTTTTCTTCTACCCTGAAGATGGGGGCGATACGTTCCTCCGAAACGTCGGTTAACACCACATATACACGGTGCCAAACCCCAGAAGACTGCTTTCTTCATAGTCACCGCCGTGAAAGCCTCAAATCTTACAAAACAAACTGTGTATGCAATTTGGGATATTTATAATCATCTCGAAGATCCGCTTTTGTGGGGAATAAACTTGTTTTACGACTGCTCTGTCTTACGTATCTTCCATCAAAGTCGCACGTCTTTCTCCTCCCTACCGCTCTCACGTGGTGCTAAATTCTTTTACAGAACAATGAATGTAAGGCAGGAGCCGTACATCAACAGGAAACCTGTCAAGTGGCGGCATGAAACACAATTTATGTGAGGGTGGGGAGCTATTTTATAAACTTCCCTTCTACAGAAAACAGTAAATTGCGAGCCACCCCTTTCCAGTTCGCTGTTTCCGTGTGATTGACATCAGGTATAGCTGTTCAAGTATACTGGTGACTACTGATCTTTCTGCTACAACAGCAAGAATAATTCAATTCAATTCTTGTTTATTTACGCGCAAACTTAACAGCACAGAGGTCAATTACAAGGTTAGCACAAGTACATAGAAATACACAAAAATAATTAAAAAATAAAATACAAAATTTGAGAGTCTGTATAATGGCAATAAATTAATAATAATTCCAAGAAAAATTAAAGTTAACGTTAACAGGTGA